TGTGTTTTAATTAATAAGATAATAAACCACAAACTACGATCGTTTTAAGGTAGCCTAGTAAGGGGAAATCCATAGTGTATTTATTTGTGTTAAACACCGGTAAAACATATCCTTATTATTTTGTTAATAAAAGTTCAAAGTTTAATATAGGTGAATTTGTCATTGTACAATTTCATTGTATAGCCTATGTTTTAATGAGCCATAAGCATTCATTTAAAGTAAGGGGAAAATCCAAAAACCTTACATTTATTTGTGTTACAACGCGGGTACATCCGTCTTATTCAGTGGCGTAGCAAGTCAGCCCCGGGCCCATATGCAAAAAAATGTGTACTGGGTAATGGGGAAGAGAGAGAGAGAAAAATCACTTTCATTCATTTATTTTTAACACCGCACCCCCAGTACCCCCATTTTTTCGTGGGCTACACTCCAGGGGGTGCTGCAGCACCCTCAGCACCCCTACTTCCCGCGGTACAGTGCATCCAGGTTCTATGTCAGAATGACGGCTCCTGTGTCAGCAGCAACACACGCATGCATCGTGGTACTCTCATGAACGCATGTTTAAGACTGACACGGAAAAGAAGAAATTGTTGAATAAAATCGTTACTTTTGTTTTCTTTGCGCACAAAGTTCTCGTTGCTTCATGAAATTAACATAAGGTTAACAACACCTGCCAAATATAATTGATTTATTTTTTATTTATTAATTTTTTTACTGGCCATAAAATTGCGTTTAATTTGGAAATGCCAAAACATGGTCTTTTATCGAACTTCAAAATTTCATTAAAGTTTTTAAAAAAAAATTTTATTATATACTGTTCTGTCTTGTGAAGTGTCAATACATTGACATTTAATAAGCCATTGAAACATTTGCTCACATGCTTGTCTAGGTCAAAACGACATGCAATATGCATTTTACTAGAAGTCAGAAGCTTTTTAAGGTACAATAACAACAACAAAAAAGAAATCGCCTAAAATTGCATAAAATTTTATTTTCTTCATGGTCCATGTAAATGTGGCGAAAGGTTGGCCTTTACTGATCTGAGGTCAGTTTTGTAGTTTTCTCCAAGCGTGTTGCTAGATTTTAAACCGGTACCTACAGCATTGACGAGAAGATCAGCATTTAGCGATGCCCCTCATGGTCCATCAGAACTGATATGTCTGTCCTCAGAGACATCGGTTTGACCTTTATTAGTTCGCAGCACACTGCGCTGCAGACAGCATTTGAAGTTCTTGAAAACAGAAATACAAGCACCAAAGGGGGCGTTTTAAAGGGCATCTGGAGGGTCAGGGTCTGTCAACGGTTGATGGGCCAAACTTGAGACTGTAAAAATAAAGCATTATTTGGACTCAATGTATTAAAACGTGTTGCATTATAGCAACAAACTTAGACAAAAATGGATTATTTTACTCTATTGTTTAATATGATCACATTTATTGCTGCTGTGTCTACCAGACATACATGGATGGACCCTTTTCACAGGCGACACATGCATTTGCGCAATAATGAACTTCGTAAATTTGTCTGTTAGTATACATGTTCTGTTATACGCTCTGCATTGCGTCTCTAAGAGTCACTGTATTTACAACACGGGAGAGAAATGACAACAAACCTATACTACTGACTTGCGATTTTGGGTGTTGGGAAATTGGAAAAATTGACATTAATTTGGAAAAGTTTAATGCATGCAGACAAACTAAAACAATGTAATTAGAACGTGAAACATGAATGAAGTGTTTTACATCCTGACACATAAAAACCTCAGCACTGCTAGATCTGATCTGACCAAAATAGAAAAGGTCATATGATAATTGCTGTGAATTTAGGCTAATTAGAATTGTCAAGAGGTTTTATCATCCATTAGAGATAGCTGGATTCACTACACATACAAAAAGCATGGCAATGAATGCATGTCTAGTGGTTGTAGAGGAGACTGAAATTTGAAGTTTATGCTGGTGAAATGATGTTAGCATGGCCGTGTTCATTACCTTAAAAGGCTATAGTGCAGATAATGACTAGAAGACCCAAAATAACAATTAATGGACAAATGAAAGGAGTCGACTAATGCACTCAGACACACTTTCAGTTAGATTGCATATTATTTTCCTCTAATTTAAGTGTTCCCCTAAAATCTAACAATGTGGTCTGATAAAATAAAATCTCTACTTGATGTCATAAGTGATAAATTATAGATTCTTTCAAACGACTTAGAAATAGACCCCCTGCAGACAGATACAAACGTTGTGGGGGAAAATGAAACGCTGCTGAAGAACTATTTTTCAACATTTTGCCCACTTGACTCGTGTAATGGCGAGGCGGAGGAATATCCGATGCCATCGCGCAATTACCTCAGATTATATGTAAACGTTTGGGTTTGCTGTGTGAGGGCCATAAAAAAGAATTCCATTTCAAATGTGTTTTTTTCACTCGATGTAAAGAGTTTCTCTTTCAGACGAAACAGACCCCCTTTTTTAAAGGTAATAATTTACCTGTCAGAATCGCAGCGGATGCACAGCAAGACTCCACTTCGCTGAGGCACTAATGGAAAATCCATTCTGTTTATGTTTTAGAGAATCCCTGAATATGTTTGAATCGTGCTAAATGTAACTAATTTATCGTCTTTATATCGTTCCAATTCTCGCAACACATTATGAGGAGCGCGGCTAAATCTTAATGATTCATTTTTAGACTGAAATGAAAGTTACACATAAAATAGCCTGTTTACTTGAGGCGGTTTGGAAATTAATCATGTGTTTACCTCATTGGATGGTATCAAAAACAGAGAAAATAGCGTTTGCTCCTCATATTTGCTAATAGATTAGCTGAAGATTACAAAATACTATGAATAACCGTATTTGATTGTGCAGTTAATGACAATAACATAGAGGAACATCTAATACAAGTGCGCCATCGTCTGGTAAGTGTGTGATTTACATAATACTCATGCATTACTTGCTGTAATTCGCTTACTCTTTTGTCCAAAAATAAATATTTCATTGTAAAGGAAAGTAATTCGAAAATTATTTATTTTCACATGTAGGTACTGCTAATTACATAAATAATGTTTAAAGCCAATGTATTGGATTTATCGTAATTTAAATATTATTCACAGTCATAAAAGCTCAGTTTAAATCCTAAACACTTATTTTCAGTCCAGTTTGTAGTATTGTCCATTGTTTCCTCCCAGTATCTCCTCCACCTTCTCCAGCAGCTTCACCACATCAGATTCCCGGTGTCCATTGTTAAGCACATGGCATCTATTCCCACACTTTCGAACCAGCCGCTCCAGGTCGCTGTTTCTCTTCACATGCTGCTGGATGCTCTCTCCTAATGTTTCCCCCCAGGTGAGCAGAATGATAGTGTGCCTCCATGATGATTTTCCTATTGCAGACATGGTACGTTCCACTGCATGCCTGTACTGACCAGTGAAGGACACGTAAGCGGGAATCACCAGGATGAAGGCGTGTGGTCCAGGTTGACACAGAGAGACGCTTTGAGAGAGGTGTTTTTGAAAGGTGTCTTTACTGTCAGATCCAGATCTCCATTTCAGGCCCTGAGGCTCTACGATAGTGAGCTGTCTGCCGGATATCTCTCCCCTCCAAGGGTTGCTTCTATCTGCATCAGGCCCCACGATAGTGCATCTCGCTGGGTGACGGGGTGACCAGGAGTCTCCTAAAAGCATCAGCCTTAGCTCATACACAGGCCAGGGTGTATGTAAAGTAGGTTGGAAACTGGTGCTTGAAGATTCAAAGAAGTCTTCCTCACTTTCGCCATCAGAGTTGTCACTTTCACCATCTTCCTCTTTTTGCTTGGCCTCCAGTGTTTGTTTAACCCTTTGGTTCTTTACCGATCTGTTGTTTGCACGGTTTATAGTAGCCAACTCCATTCGCTCTTCACTTCTTGTGTCTTTTGCATCACAAATGCCACCATCTACTCCTAAGTCTTCGACTTCAATTCGTTTTCCATTCAATTCAGCACTGTTTGTCAATCGCTGATACCCTGAGAAAGACTCTTTGTGCATCCATTTGAGCTCTGTGTTATACAAATACTTCTCCCATTTCTCAAGTTCCTCTCGCTTCCTTTTCATCTTGTCTTGTTCATTATTTAGCTCCAGCATTTTGCTGTCCAGTTGGTTTTGACGTTCCTCAAGCTCTTTCTCTCTTCCATCTAGTGTGGTTTTCTGGAGCTCTAGCATTTGTGTTTTGTACTCTACATCGCTTGCTTTCTTTTTCAGATCTAATTCTTGGTTCTGCATAAGTTTGTGTTTATCCGTCATGCTATTATCTCTCATAGCGAACTCTGATTCCCGTTGATGCAGGTCTGTTTCTCTGGTATCTAAAGAGCGTTCTCCGTCTTTCAAAACATCCTGCTGTTTCTTCAGACTGCGCAACATGTCTTCATGCTTTTGTTCCCTATTTTGCATGACTTGCTGTCTTTTCTCCGAATAGATTTCTTCACTCTTCAGCTTCTGCTCTCTTTGAGAAAGAGCTTCTTCGCCTTTTATCAGCTCTTGCTCCCTTTTTCCTAATGCTTCTCTAATGCTCTCGAGCTCCAGGTCACATTTATCAGATGAAGCTGTTTGGTTTTGCCGCTTATTTTCCATATCTCGATGTTGCTCCATCAGCCTTTGATCTTTAAGTTCGAGGTCCTGCTCCCTCTGAACAAGTTCTTGCTCCTTTATCTGCAGTACATTTATTTTTTGCAGAAGATCATATTCCTTGTTACTCAACTCGGCTTGACATTTCTCCACATTGTGTTTGTTATTTTCAAATTCCTCCGAGATCTTTGAAAGCTCTTGGGATTTCACCTCCCACATCTGCTCTCGTTTATCAAGTTCATTTTCTCTAGTTTCCAGATTCGCTCTGAGCATCTCCAGAGTTTTTTGTTCTTCCTTAAGCCTGCGTTGCTCTTTAACAAAATTCGCCTCCGTTTCCAGCAGCTCATGTTCTCTTCTCTCTATCTGCTGTCTACGATTTTCCATATTTTTCTCCTGCTTTTCAGACAGATCTTTTATTTCCTTTTCCTTGGTCTCCAATATCTTCTCCATTGCTTGTAACTCATCCTTTTTACATTTTATCTGCTGTTCCTGTGCCTTAAAATTTTCCTCTCTATCCATAAACTCTTCGGCTCTTTTCTCAATCTTCTCTTTCATTTGCACCAGATCTGCAGCCAGACGTTTGTTATTCTGACTCTCGTTTTCTATATTCTTCTCCTCTTCTCTTATCTTGTACATTTGCTCTTCCAAATTCTGTTCTCGTCTATTCATTTCATCCTCTCTAGTTAACAAATCTTGTTTGCTTTGCGCTAATTTCTCTTCCTTCTTTTCTACCTCTCTCTCTCTCCTGTGAAGTTCTTGTTCTCTCTCTATCTCTTTCATCTCATGCTCTTCATGCCTTTCTTTTAGTCTTTTCTCATAATATGCCTTCATGTCTTGCATATCGCTCTCTTTCTCTTTCTCCTTCTCTTCCAGCAGCTGTTTGAACTCATCTATCTTTTGTTCTAACCCTCTAATTTCTTTCGTCTGTTTCTCAGAGTGCTTAACTGAAGTCTGCAGATCTCTCTCATAGCCCTCACATTTGCGCTTCAGCTCTTCTAATTCATTTCCCAGTCCTGCGTTCATGTTTTGTAGGACATTGTTTTGCTCTTGCTCTTCCCTGATCTGTTGTCTCAGCTCATCTGAGCATCTTTCTGTTTCCTTGTGCTGTTTGTTTATGTTTTCCATTTCCTCTGCCATCATCATATTCTTTCTTTTGTAGACCTCTATCTTTCCATCAAACTCTTCCTCTAGATGTTTTAGTTGGGCAGCAGCTTCTTCAGTATTTGCTCGAATGATGTTTTCCAGTTTTTCTATTTCTCTTCTATGTTTTTCATTGATGTTTTGCAGCCGTGTGTCCATTTCTTTGTCCTTTTCCAAGTCTTTTTGATTTAATTTGGTTATTTCATCCTCTTTTGTTTGTAGTTCTTCCTCTAAATGGTTTAGTTTAGCTGCACTTTCCTCAACATGTGCCTTAATACTCTCTCCTAACTTTTCAAACTCTTTCTGTTTTTCGCTAATGTTTTCACGCATTGTGTTCATTTCTCTGTCTTTGTCCAGGTCTCTTGCTCTTAATTGGATGATTTCATTTTCTTTTCTTTTGAATTCTTCCTCTAAATGCTTCAGTTGTGCAGCACTTTCTTCAATATTCGACTGCATGCTGTCTTTTAATTTTTCAGTGTCCTGCTGTTGGCCAATAATATTTTTCTTAAGTGTGTAAATTTCTGTGTCTTTCTCCTGGTCTCTTTGTCTTAATTTGGTTATTTCCTCTTCTTTTATTTTCAGCTCTTCCTCTAAACGCTTGAGTTTAGCAGCACTTTCTTCGATATGTGCCTCAATATCGTCTCTTAACTTTTCAGTGTCTTTCTGTTTTTTGCTAATGTTTTGCCTAAGCATGTCAATCTCTCGTTCTTTCTCCTGGTCTCTTTGTCTTAATTTGTCATTTTCCTCTTCTTTTGCCTTCAATTCCTCCTGTAGAAGTTTTAGTTGAGCTGCATTTTCTTCAATACTGTCTTTTAACCTTTCAATATCAGTTTGTTTTTCGCTAATGTTTTGCTTTAGTTTGTCAATGTCTTTGTCTTTCTCCAAGTCTCTTTGTATTGATTTGTCTATTTCATCTTCTTTTGTTTTCAACTCTTCCTTCAAAACTTGAAGTTCAGCTGCGTGTTTTTCAGAATTTGCCTGGACAGTGTCTTTTAACCTTTTTATATCCCTCTGTTTTTCTGTAATGTTTAGCTTCAGTGTCTCCATTTCTTGCTCTTTTTGCTGATCTCTTTGACTTAATATGACTATTTCATCATCTTTTTGCTGAAGTTTCTTTTGCGTTTCAGCATTTCGATGTAGCTCCTTTTCTCTCTCTCTCATCGTTCGCTCTATTTCCTCATCTTTCCCTACGAGTTTATCAATGAGGGTGTTGTATTTTTCCACAGTTTCTCTATGCATTTCTCTCTCGGCTTCTGTGGTTTTCACTTGCTCCTGATAGGACATCCGTAGCTGCTCCATCTCTTTGGTCATCATCTCTATCCCCTCTCTCAGCTTGTCCATCTCTTTCTCTCTCTTCTCAACTTGTTCACTGAATCTCCCGCTTTGTTCTCTTTCTCTGCTCTCAGCGTTCAGTTTCACCTTCTCGATTTCTCTTAAAATGTTTTCAGTTTCATTGTCCTTTTCGTTCAGTTTCTTCTCCATCTCTTGCTTTTGCCAGACAACCTCTTCTTCATACCTGCGTTGTGATGCATCCATCTCTTTTTGAGTTTCTTGAACCTTTCCTCTCATCCTATCATTCTCTTTCTCAGCTTCCAGCAGTTTGCTTTGAAGTTCATTCATCTCATCCAAGTGTGCAATCTGAATCTCAGCCTCTCTCTCTTTCCGTTCTTGCTCTTTCACGGCACCCATGCGCTCCATTTCCAGCAGTTTCATCTGAAGTTCATCCACTTTTTCTTTAAGTTCTTCCCCCTCTCGCTCTCGTTGCTCTAATCTCATCAGCAGTTGCTCTTTCTCTTTCAGTCCCTGATGGAGAGTCACCATGACTTTGCTCATTTCAGCACTCAGCTCTTGCAACTCTCGCTCCTTGTCTTCTGTCAACCACGCCATCCTCTCTTCCAGCTCTCCCATCACGCTTCTCCTGTCATCTTCACCTCGGTACGGCGCCTCTTCCCTCTCTGCCTTCCCAGGAGATTGCACTTTGTCTTTTTTGCGTCTTTCGAAAAACCACCGAATGCTCCTGACCTCTCGTTCCTTCATCTTCTTCAGTTCCTCCTCCTGCCGTTGAAGCTTATCGCTAAACTCCTTGACCTTCAGCTGGAATTTCTCATTCTTTTGTCTTCCTAACTCTTGAATCTCATGCACTAGTGGTGAGAATGCCTCGCACCGATTTCCCGCCACCATCTTCTCGATCTTCTCCAGAAGTTCCGTTATCTGTGTTTTAGAATTTAGTGATTCCAAACAAGAGTGGCTGCTGATAACGTGGAATCTGTTTGAACATCGTTCCACCAACCAACGAAGATCCTTCCCTCCTCCTTGGATGTGCTGCTCAATGGTGACTCCCTCTCGTAGCTGGTCACCCCTCGTGAACAAAAGAAGCGTATGTCTCCAAACTGCCTCTCCCAAAAGCTGCAAATGCTCCCGCACCGCCTGTGCTTGGATGACTGCGTCCACTCTCAATGCCAGTAGAAATGCATGAGGTCCAGGTGGACACAGCGTTACGCTCAGTCCGATCTCTCGCTTCACTCTCTCT